GCTATGTAGTGTTATTTTTGTTCCCTGACGGTGATTTTTTGGTTTTGGAACAAAAGCTACATTTAAAAAAAAAACTAGGATTCACAGTTTAATAAGGGTTTATTATTTAAATTTTGAATCTGTGAATAGATGGAATATTTGGAAGAATTTTGGCTTTATAATCGATGAGATTTTGTTGTTTGAATTTTTTTTTTGAATAAACAATGAATTCTCTTAGAAAATTTTGGACTTACAGTTTGAAAGAAATCAAATGTTTAAGGTCTTTGGTTTTGGGGTTTTCCTTTTTGGAAATACAATGAAAACTAAAGCAACATAAAAAAAGCCCTATACTGGGCACAATCTTGGGAGACTAACTCCCCTCAAGTCATTACGAAGCAATTCCAAACAAGCCGTTGGAGGGACATCCAGCACAATCAGCTGTCCATCCTGATGAGGTGCATGAGTAGCAAGCCAATCAACAACAAAATTGCCTTCTCTATAAGTATGACTAAGCTGAATAATCCAGTCTCTTTGAAGCATGCTACGAGCTCGGATGATTAAAGCAGAAAGAGGATGACTTACGTCACACCCTTTTCTTATAAATTCCAAAGCCACCTTGGAGTCACCCTCCACAAAGACTCTCCTAAATCCCGTATGCCAAGCCAGATCCATACCTGTCAAGAATCCCAAAATTTCCGCTGAAGTAGAAGTACCACTCCCAAGGAATTTTGTAAAACCGGTTAACCAGTTCCCAGCAGCATCCCTTATGATTCCACCACATGCAGTCCTTTGCCCACTGTCTATGCTGGAACCATCCACATTAAGTTTAACATAACCCTCAGAGGGAAAATTCCAGTGAATAAGACTTCCTCTCTTCTAAGCTCCTGATGACCAATCTTAATAAGGGTTTCATTAGCCAATTGAATATTACCACAAGTATAGGTAATGCGCCTAATGAGACCATACTTCGAGGTGATAGTTTGATCAAAGATCGCCTTATTTCTTTCCCCCCACAAACACCAAGCTATTACCCCAAAATACAAAGGCCAAGTTCGATCTGTTTGAAACAGACCTTTTAATCCTAGATTTGTCTGAATCCATAGGTGAAGATCCATGGAGAAAAAGTCACTACGGTTATCAGAAGGAACCCAATGCTCCCATAATTCCCTGGCACCAGGACAATCTCTAATGGCATGTAAACTATCCTCAAGATTATAATGACATCTCAGACACCCTGCATCTGTAGCCATGTGACGATGCACTCTATGAACATTAGTTAAAAGAGAACCTCTGTAGAGAAGCCATAAGAATTGTCTAATACGTTCAGGACCAGGCCAAGCCCAAATTACCTTCCAAATCCTATCCTGATGATAATGCGAGGTACCCATGAGATAGTTATAAGCTGATTTCACTGAAAAAATCCCATCTTGGCTACCTGCCCAAATAACACGGTCCGGAGAAGGATCCACTGTAGGAGGGAGCACACTACGAATCTTGTCTAATACTGAAGTAGGAAAAAGGTGCTGAAATAAAGGCCAGTCCCAATTACCATAACAAGTTACAAATTGAGACGTAGACGAATGAGTCATAATAGGAGGAATAGGTTGAACGGCCAGAGAAACAAGTTGAGGACATCCTAGCACCCACGAATCCATCCAAAAAGACGTATGAACCTCATCCCCTAAAATGATACGAGAATTCTCTAGAGTTTGAGGCCAATACTTAACAATAGCCTTCCATAAACCAGAATCATTTGCGGAAGCCGAGATACTTGGAATGAGCCTTTCCTCCACCTTATACTTGCTACGAAGGACCCGAACCCATAACGAATTACGATCAGTCATGATTCGGTAACCTAGCTTCATGATAAAAGCCATATTATTCTCTTTAATTTTACAAAAACTAAGCCCCCCTACATTCTTCGGCAAACAGACCGTCTCCCAAGAAACCAGGTGAGCTTTCCTTCGTTCAGAAGTTGATCCCCAAATGAAATTCCTAGTTACACTCTCAATACGATCACACGTACCACTAGGAATAATACAAGTTTGCATAGGATATTGAGGAATTGTAGTAAGAACTGACCTAGCCAAAGTTGATCTTCCTGCCAATGAAAGAGTACGTTGATTCCAGGCATTTAAACGAGCTTGCATCCGATTTAAGATATAGCCAAACGTACTCTTTGTAACACGGCTATGACGAAGAGGAATACCCAAGTATTTACCCAAGTCATTTGTAGGAGAGTAACCCATCAACTGGCTTAGATTCTGCACTCGGGTATGATTAACGTTTCTGGAGAAGAAGACTTTTGTTTTTTCCTTGCTAACCTTCTCACCAGAGCACCTGCAAAAACAATCAAGAATCTTATTAATAATAACAGCTTGCCCTTCTGCGGCTTCTGTAAAGAGCAGAAGATCATCTGCAAAAAATAGATGGGAAAGCAGTGGTCCCCTTCTATTCAATCTGATAGGCTTCCAAACGTCCTCTTGAACTGCTACATTAATCAAATGAGCAAGTCTTTCCATGCAAAGGATGAAAAGATAAGGAGACAAAGGATCTCCCTGACGAAGACCTTGATTAGGAGAAAATTCTGTCGTAGTTGATCCATTCCATAACAAATTCATTGTACATGACGAGACACAACACATGATCAGATAAATAATATTCTCAGGCAAACCAACATCCACAAGCGTGTCTTTCAGAAACTCCCAAGAAATCTTGTCATAAGCCTTTTCTAAATCAACTTTGACAGTCATCCAACCCTTACCTCCTCTCTTTTTATTCATGGAATGGATGATTTCCTGAGCCACAATGATATTATCCGCTCCTTGTCTACCCTTAATAAAACCACATTGATTAGGCATAACCAAGTGAGCCATATGAAATTTCAGCCTATTAGCCACAATCTTAGTTACAGTCTTGTAAATAACATTACAAAGGCTAATAGGTCTGAAATCTTTAAGTAATTTAGGCACATCAATCTTAGGAATCAGACAAATCAAGGTTTGGTTAACCTCTTTGATATTATCCGGATGAAGGAACACACCTTTCACAAAAGAGATAACTGACTCACCCACCTTATCCCACTGAGATTGAAAGAAAAGAGCATTAAGCCCATCCTTCCCAGGCGACTTGTATGGACCAAAAGAGAAGACTACATCTCTGATCTCCTTACTGTTTGGCATAATATTCATCGTGTCTAAAGCATGCGCTTCAATAACTGGAAAAAATCCACGAACTGGAAAAGCCGGTTTAGGTAATGGATCTTTTGTGTACAGATTTTCAAAGAAAGAAACAGTCATTTCCATTAAAACCTGTTGATCACCAATCCAAACTCCCTCCGAGTTTTTCAACGTATCTATGCGATTCCTCCTACGTCTGGCAACCGTCACAGATGAAAGAAACGCGAGTTCCTATCTCCAAGAGCAAACCAATTCAATTTCGATCTTTGAAACCAAGTAATTTCCTCTTGAAGATAAATCTTGTCTAGTTCCCTCCATAGATCCTTTTGCAACATCTCAAGGCTATGACTGTACTGATAACTAAGACATCTATCAATACCTCTAATCCTTGCATGCAAATCATTCTTTCTTTTCAGAGAAATCCTATAAACATTTCTATGCCATTCTGAAGCATTAATCCGAAATGTCTCCATAGCATGCATCCAGTTTACATTGTTTGACCAACATCCATTAACCACCTCATGAAAAGTGCTCTCTGTTAACCAGGACGCTAGAAAACGGAAAGAACGCTCCCTTCTCAGATAAATAGAAGGTTGACCTTCCCATAATAACATTGGTCGATGATCTGAGCCAAAGAAAGGCAAGTTGAAAGCCACACGATTAGGGAAAACCAAGTTCCAATTATCATTAGCGCAAACCCGATCAAGACGTTCCTGAAGATTTCTTCTTTTCCAAGTGAAAATAGGACCTTGATTGCCAATGTCAGACAAGCTACATTCATCTAAACAATCACGAAATTCCCTCATGCTATTCCAGTTTTGCCCATTACCACCTAGCTTCTCATACTCATACAAATAAGTGTTAAAATCACCTGTTATCCCCCAAGCTGCATTCCTCATGGACTGATCAAACAGTGAGACAAAATTTCCCACAGCTGAATACGTTCCTGTCTTCGCGGACTTGCATAAATAAAAGTCATGAACTCCTCTCTATTTTCTTTTACCCAACAAATTTTAGTATGGACAAGTTGGTGATGAGAAAAAAGAACATCCACTGAAACTTCATCAGTGTTCCAAAGCACCCAAATACCGCCAGAAAAACCAACAGCATCACGATGAAAGTGACCAGAAAAACCAAGACGCTGAATAGCTCTATCCGCCATAACACCACTCAATCTGGTTTCTAACAAAGCCATAACTTTAATACTGTATCTATGAGAAAGATCCCGAATTAGAGGCGGAAAACTCCTTTTCCCAACCCCTCTACAATTCCAGGTCAAAATATTCATAAAAACAATCTTAAATTTATCCGAACAGAAACCGGCCCTAAGAAAGAGCATTGGTATAGACCGAAGTCGCACCCAAAACGTCCAAATTATCCAAAGGGATAGAATCCTTGTGAGTTTGATAAAAATTCCTCATTAACGTAAGAGCATCTGGTGGTCTTCCATGTTTACCTCCATTATCCAAGCCACTAGAAGAAGGAAGAGTCTCTTGCTGATCATTAACCACATGAGACGTCTTCCTCTGGAATTTAGATAAAGAAGGGTGCAAGACAATTTGTCTATCTTGGAAATCCTCCGACATATTCTTCTGAGAATCAAGTTTAAAATTATTCTTTTGAGATTCTGCACGTTTTGAAGCATTTAATCTGCCTTTGCTAATATTAGCATTCTGGACCAGCTGATGAACTTTAGCAGATGATGCAGTTGCTTTCTTCTTTTGGTTCTTTTTGAATTTTACTCCTTGACTTTGGACCTCTTTTCTCGACTTGCCCGCGGATAGGTTAGCAGATGGAGAAACTATTTCCATTTGAATATCCTTTTTCACCAACGGTTCTTCATTATGAGCAATTAATTCGTGTCAGACCAGATTCAATGCTGATTGAATCAATCACTGGAGAATCAGAAATAATTAAGATATTATTATCCTTTTGAGTCAACTCAGCAATAGCTTGAAATCTTGAACCTGATTGAATGACCTGTCTGTGATTAGGATGAGAATTGGAAACTGCCTTATTACGTAACACTGCATTATTAACAACGCCAACTTGTCTCCTACCCGATGGTAATGATTCCTCCTTTGATTGTGCTATGCTCCTTGATTCCTCCTTTGATTGTGCTATGCTCCTTGATCGACGGTTACGCTGCACTAGCATCCAATTCCCAAACGGTTCCTCCTTCGCCGGAACGGAATCTTTTTCCGGCTGCTTATGCACCACCGAGTCAGAAACTTCAGGAGAATAAGCCGTAGTATCTTGTTGAAGATTACTATGGGAACACTGATCCCTTCTATGCCCATACTTTCCACAAGCAAAACAAACTAAGTGGAGACCCTCATATCCAACATGGAAGATACGATCAGCAATCCGGAATTTGGACAAAAAGCCTTTCCTAAGATCAACTTCGACACAAATTCTAGCAAACTTTGCTCTCTCTGTAATATCACCTTCACCAGAATAACGTTTCCTGATAGAGTTCCTATCAATCATCAATGTGCGACCAAAAATACTACCTATATTCCACAAATGATGAGAGGTATAGAATTCAATAGGAAGTCCTGGAATACGAATCCAAACTGCCAGCTTTCTGATCTCATCATCATAAGGATTAAAAAATGGACGCCACCGTTGAACTACCACATAATGATCAGCTATGATCCAAGGACCATCCTCCAAAACATGAGAGTAATCATTCTTATTTGAAAATCGGAACAAAAAGTAGTCATTCTCCAGATCAATGAACTCATATGTGCCTGAGATATTCCACATTCTTAGTAAACGATTGAGTAAGAATCTAACTCCAACTTTCTTCCCCAGAAGTTTCACAATCACTGCCTGTTTCCAAGGTCTGCAACCTTCTAAATGCAAGGCTTTTGGAAAAGAGTACGTTGGGCAAAGAGGATCCTCCTCACCATCAACCGTAACAAAGACCTCATCCCCTTCTTCTTCGTCCTCTTCCTTACGTAGTTTTTCTACCCAATCTTCCTCATCGCTATCAGCAACATGGGGTCCTCCATTAAAACCAAGAAGAGAATCTTTATATGACACCAACTTCCTGTTAGATGAATCACCTGACTCTTCCTTCTTTTTTCCCCCGTTGCTAGTCACATTCACCTGGATATCCTCCTCTGCCATGTGATCATCCATAGGTTGATCTTCCATAGCAGGGCCTTTAGGTTTTTTTGTGCTTCGATGGAGAAGATCTTCCTCCACCGTCGTAGCATCTCTCGCCTCCTTGCCGGTTTCTCTCTCTTCCTGTTTGCCGAAGAATGTAGGGGGGCTTGGTTTTCGTAAAATTAAAGAGAATAATATGGCTTTTATCATGAAGCTAGGTTACCGAATCATGACTGATCGTAATTCGTTATGGGTTCGGGTCCTTCGTAGCAAGTATAAGGTGGAGGAAAGGCTCATTCCAAGTATCTCGGCTTCCGCAAATGATTCTGGTTTATGGAAGGCTATTGTTAAGTATTGGCCTCAAACTCTAGAGAATTCTCGTATCATTTTAGGGGATGGGGTTCATACGTCTTTTTGGATGGATTCGTGGGTGCTAGGATGTCCTCAACTTGTTTCTCTGGTCGTTCAACCTATTCCTCCTATTATGACTTATTGGTCTACGTCTCAATTTGTAACTTGTTATGGTAATTGGGACTGGCCTTTATTTCAGCACCTTCTTCCTACTTCAGTATTAGACAAGATTCGTAATGTGCTCCCTCCTACAGTGGATCCTTCTCCGGACCGTGTTATTTGGGCAGGTAGCCAAGATGGGGTTTTTTCAGTGAAATCAGCTTATAACTATCTCATGGGTACCTCGCATTATCATCAGGATAGGATTTGGAAGGTAATTTGGGCTTGGCCTGGTCCTGAACGTATTAGACAATTCTTATGGCTTCTCTACAGAGGTTCTCTTTTAAGTAATGTTCATAGAGTGCATCGTCACATGGCTATAGATGCAGGGTGTCTGAGATGTCATTATAATCTTGAGGATAGTTTACATGCCATTAGAGATTGTCCTGGTGCCAGGGAATTATGGGAGCATTGGGTTCCTTCTGATAACCGTAGTGACTTTTTCTCCATGGATCTTCAACTATGGATTCAGACAAATCTAGGATTAAAAGGTCCGTTTCAAACAGATCGAACTTGGCCTTTGTATTTTGGGGTGATAGCTTGGTGTTTGTGGGGGGAAAGAAATAAGGCGATCTTTGATCAAACTATCACCTCGAAGTATGGTCTCATTAGGCGCATTACCTATACTTGTGGTAATATTCAATTGGCTAATGAAACCCTTATTAAGATTGGTCATCAGGAGCTTAGAAGAGAGGAACGTCTTGTTCACTGGAATTTTCCCTCTGAGGGTTATGTTAAACTTAATGTGGATGGTTCCAGTATAGACAGTGGGCAAAGGACTGCATGTGGCTGAGTCATAAGGGATGCTGCTGGGAACTGGTTAACTGGTTTTAAAAAATTCCTTGGGAGTGGTACTTCTACTTCAGCGAAAATTTGGGGATTCTTGGCAGGTATGGATCTGGCTTGGCATAAGGGATTTAAGAGAGTCTTTGTGGAGGGTGACTCCAAGTTGGCTTTGTAATTTATAAGAATAGGGTGTGACATAAGTCATCCTCTTTCTGCTTTAATCATCCGAGCTCGTAACATGCTTCAAAGAGACTGGATTATTCAGCTTAGTCATACTTATAGAGAAGGCAATTTTGTTGCTGATTGGCTTGCTACTCATGCACCTCATCAGGATGGACAACTGATTGTGCTGGATGTCCCTCCAACGGCTTGTTTGGAATTGCTTCGTAATGACTTGAAGGGAGTTAGTCTCCCAAGATTGTGCCCAGTATAGGGTTTTGGGGTTTTCCTTATATTTGATATTCTTTGTTAAAAGCTAAATATAATTTATTTATTTTTTTGGTATTATGCATCATTTTCAAGCTTTCATTTGAAAAGGCTTACATGTGCGTCGATTGTGCATTAATTTTTAAGCCTTATAATGAAAAGGTATTTATTGTATGCATCATTTTCAAGCTTTCATTTGAAAAGGCTTACATGTGCGTTGTTTGTGCATTAATTTTTAAGCCTTATAATGAAAAGGTATTTATTGTTAATGGTATAATGATATAGTATGTATGTATATACATTGAGGATTGATAAAGAATAATTTTCTTTATTGTTGTTATTTTATTTTTAAATGTGTTTATTATCCCTAAAGGTTTCTATTTGAAATTGAATATGATAGATTTGTTAGCCGCCACAGTGGCCAAATTTATAAAGGTTAATTTGATTTCAAATAGGTTGGTCATATAAATATATTTTATTTATGCAAATAATAATCGGCCCACAGGAAGGTTATTGTTTGGCCAAATAACATATGTTGTGTGATCATGTGTATGTTTATTGCTTATGCGGATAGTGATCGACCCACAGGAAGGTTATTATTTGGCCAAGTAACAAACATACCTGTGGTAATAAATATGTGACAATTATCAAGAATTCTCCATGTAATTCATAGTCGGCCCATAGGAAGGCTATGATTTGACAGGACTTATTGTCAATGTTTGATTACTACATTAAGAGTACCACTTACAAGTTGATATTTTTGTCCACAGACTAAATATTAATGTTGTGCTAGGTACTTTATAATAAACTCATTTTACTTCGGATTATTTGTCTATATCATGTATGTTTGAATATATATGATATGACATGTTATTAGTATGTTATCTTTTTGTTCTCTGTATAGTTTCTGCTACCGCTGCCAATTATATTGCTCAAATGAATATGCTTCCAATGCTTAATGGGGCAAATTTCAAGCTGTGGAAAGAGAATGTGAAAATTTTTCTCGGCTGCATGGATCTCGACAATGCGCTAAGGACTGAGAAACCCACTTCCACTCAGGAAAATCCAAACACGGATAAAATTGAGAAGTGGGAACACTCAAATCGCATGTGTCTGATGATCATGAAACGTTCCGTTCCGGAGGCGTTTAGGGGCTCGATTGTTGAGACTACTGATGCCAAGTTGTTTATGAAGGAACTCGAGCAATACTTTGCTCGAAATGAAAAGGCTGAAATTGGTCAAACCTTGTCCAAACTCATAAACATGTGGTATAAAGGAAAGGGAAACATAAGGGAGTACATTATGGAAATGTCTAATCTTGCTGGAAAACTAAAGGCATTAAAGTTAGAGCTGCCCTCTGAGTTGCTCATGTACTTAGTTATTATCTCTCTTCCTGCACAATACAGTCAACTTGTGGTGAGTTATAACACTCAAAAAGAGAAATGGACTCTTAATGAGCTCATTTCTCACTGCGTGCAAGAGGAAGAGAGGTTATAGCGAGAGAAGAATGATAGTGCTCACTTGACATCAACCTCTCAAGACATGAAAAGAAAGAGAGCTTAGGATAATGCAGATGCTTTGCCAAAGAAGCAAAAGAAGCAGGACCAGGAATTCACCTGCTTCTTTTGTAAGAAATCTGGACACATGAAGAAAGAGTGTTCCAAATACTAGGCATGGCGCAAAAAGAAGGGTATGACTCTCGCTTTAGTTTGTTGGTACTGGTTCTGTGGCACAAGCATTTAGGTCATATCTCTAAACAGAGAATTCAGAGGCTTGTGACTGATGGAATTCTTGAACCCCTTGATCTGGATGATTTTGAGGTGTGCATTGAATGCATAAAGGGGAAACAGACAAACATAAGGAAAATAGGTTCCAACAGAGCTTCAGACGTCTTAGAATTGATTCATACGGATATTTGTGGACCATTTCCTATAGCCTCTTGGAATGGTCAACAATACTTTATCACATTCACAAACGACTATTCAAGATTTGGATACCTATATTTGATTAGAGAGAAGTCACAATCATTGGATTTGTTCAAAGAATTTAAAGCTGAAGTTGAACTTCAGTTAGGCAAGAAAATTAAGGCCATTAGATCTGATCGTGGTGGTGAATACTATGATAGATCTGATGGATCAGGTGAACAACGTCCAGGGCCCTTTGCGATCTTCCTAAAGGAGTGTGGAATCGTCCCGCAATACACAATTCCAGGTAAACCTAGCATGAATGGTGTTGCGGAAAGGCGAAATCGGACTCTTAAAGACATGGTGAGGAGTATGCTTAGTCATTCTTCATTGCCAGAATCACTTTGGGAGAAGCACTAAAGACTGCAGTTTATATCCTTAATAGGGTTCCCAGAAAAGCAGTGACAAAAACCCCTTATGAGCTATGGAATGGAAAGAAACCTAGCATAAGGCATTTACACATTTGGGGTTGTCCAACAGAAGTAAGGCCTTATAGGCCAAATGAAAGAAAATTGGACTCAAGAACAATCAGCTGCTATTTTGTTGGATATGCTGAACGCTCTCGGGGCTTTAAGTTTTATAATCCCACTACAAGATCCTTTTTGGAGACGGGAAATGCCAGATTCCTTGAAGATGTTGAGTTTGGGGGGAAGATAAAATAAGGAATGTTGTATTTGATGAGGAAGAAAATTATATTTCTCTTCCTAATATTGTCATCATACAAGATGCAATTACGGAATAGACAATTAATGATCATGTCCCTGTTCATGACATTGTTATAGAACAAGCTTTGGTCCCTGACATTGCTTTGGGTCAAGACAATAATGAATCACCCCCTATGCCACCTATAGAACAAACTCAACAAACTCAAGAAGTGCCATTAAGGAGATCCACTAGAGAAAGGAGAAATGCAATTCCGGATGATTATATTGTGTTTCTTCAATAGCATGAAAATATTTTAAGCTTGAAGGAAGATGATCCAATCAACTTCCAACAAGTCTTAGAAAGCTCTAATGCTCATAAATGGATTGATGCCATGAAAGATGAGATGCAATCTATGAAAGACAACGACGTTTGGGATCTTATTGAGTTGCCTAAAGGTGCGAAACCCATTGGTTGTAAATGGATATTTAAAACCGAAAGGAATTCAAATGGCAACATCGAAAGATATAAGGCACGTCTAGTTGCTAGAGGTTTCACTCAGAAAGAAGGCATAAACTATAAAGAGACTTTCTCTCCAGTTTCTACGAAGGACTCTTTTAGGACAATAATGGCGCTTGTGGCTCATTTGGATTTGGAGCTACATTAGATGGACGTAAAGACAGCGATTCTCAATGGCAACATTGATGAGACAATTTATAT